GGGAGCACCGAGGCAGGGCTGGTGCCCCCTCAGTGGTCGTGGAAGCGAACTCATGAGGACAAGCCAGGTGAAGGAGGAGGGCGGGAGCCCTCAGGAAGGGCCAGGAGCCACTGAGGTGAGAGCTGAAGACCAGGTGGGCAGACCAGGGGGTGAGCGAGGCATCAGAGCTTGCTGTAGGCGCCGGAAGTCCCTGCACCTGGCAGAGGCCTGGGCGAGGAGAGGGTGCTGCCCAGGTAAAGCCTGGAAGATGCTTCTCATCAGAAAACCATGGGAGATGGCAACTGGGGGACCCTGCTCTAGGGCTAGAAAGGGGTGATTGTAGGCCGAAGAGAAGAGAGGAGTTGTAAGCAAGCTTGGAAGAAAGCAGATGCATCTTCCTGAGACAGGACACGAGGGTGGGAAGAGGAAGGTTTCCAGCTGTGGAAAGGAGGAAAGATGCTAATTTGGACCACATGGAGTTTGGCCAATGATTTCCACCGGCCACAAGGTCCCACGGTCCCAGCTGAGCCTCAGGTCGGGTGAGTGTGAGAAGGGTCCTGATGCCCCAAGGTTGGGGCAGCTATTTACAATAGACCCCCAGATGATCTCAGCAATGCCTAGCTGTGCACCACCCAATGAAAGCAAAGCTTCAAGTGATAACGTCTCCAGTGATTGCCAGGTCTTCAGCACAAACGCTGAGGCAGGAGGTTTCTCTGCAGCATCTGGGAGGAACCAGGCCAAACCTTCCCAGGGGGAAGAACCACTACACACAGAAGACCCTTAGAGCCTGGCCGTATTTCACCCAAGTCCTTGGTTCATGGGGGATGAGACCTAGGTAGGGAGAAGGGAGCTGACATTCCTAAGAAAACTCAAGCATTCCTTCCATGAAGCAGAAAGAGACACAGGAAGTGGAAACAGAGAAAGACCATTTAAGACTGGGACAAATCACTTCACCCTGAGTGGTTTTAGGCAAGGTTCCCTGAAGGAAATTGGGCCTTGGCAGGGTTTTAAGGCATGTATAGGAGCTGGTCCGGCAAGAGATAGAGAAAAGACAAATGTATTCTAAGAAGAGAGAACAGCACTTAGCAAAGTGAGGAGATTCGACACCCTGTGGTGCCTGGAGTTGCTAGAGGGGCCGAGCAGCTCTGCGGGAATTGAGGACAGAGGAGGACAAACAAAACAGGCAGGTAGGCACTGGTAGTTTTAACAGAGGGCCAGGAGATTTGGGAAAATGAAAACCATGAAGAGGACCTCCACAAAGGCCCCAAGGGATGCTGCGCAGAGTGACAGGCAGATGCAGAGGTGTACGGAGGACTACAGAGGCCAGTGGACCCCTGAAGGGGCCAGACATTGTCTTTTAGGCTGGGGAGCTACATGCCCTTGGTCACTGATATGCAACCCTGCCCTTTTTGCATGAAAGCACCATGGAGGAGATGCAGACAAGCACACGTGCTGTGTTCCAGTAAAACTTCCTTTGCAAAGGCAGGAGGAGGGGCCGCAGCCTACCAGTCCTGCTAGACAGACTTTCTGAGATCGTGCAACACTCTTAGTACCTGGGGTAGACAGAATAACAGACTTTCAAAGATTCTACCCCGTCCTCTCTGCAGCCTGTACACGTGATGTGTTGTACAGTGAATGGGGGAAAACGGGAGCAGATGAAGAGATCGGTGTTAATGAGCTGACCTTAAAAACACGTGGGCGATTTTTCCGTATTATTTGGGTGACTTCAGGGTAATCGGCAGGTCCCTAAATGTGCAAGAGGGAAAAGGAAGACTGGTGTCATGGTGATTCGAGGTGAGGAGAACCGATCTGTGGGCCATGGAGGTGGATGGGGCCAGCAGCCAAGGACTATGTGCACCCTCTGGAAGCTAGAAAAGGAAAAATGGGGATTTCTCCAAAGCATCTGCAGGAAGGATCACCGTCTTGCCAAACCTCAATCTGTGTTGTTTTAAATCAAGATCATGCAGTGTCCTGTTGCAGTCATAGACAATAAAGTAGTAGTAACACAGCACCCGTGGAAGTGGGAACTGAGCCTTCTACACTTTCTGGGGAGACTCAAGCCCCGGCTTTAAGAATGCAGGCTGGTTGTGCTGCGCAGGTAGACACCTCATTCGGGGGAGGGAGCCAGAAGCACTGAAGCCAACTTCTCCTTATCGTGTTTCTCTAGGGATTCCCAGACCCACGTGATGGGGACTCAAAACCCAGGAAAGAGAAACTCCAGATGGGAGGGTGAGGATGAAAGTCTCAGGCCCTGCACTCCACCTGGGGAAGTGGACCGTCAAGAGCCAGCCCTGACTTTCTTTTCCCCTGGCACAGGGCCACCCTCTGCCACTGGCCATGCCACTGTGCCATTTACGTCATGGGCAGTACAGTTGGCTGCTTTGAAATGTGTGTTATGAGGGAAATGAGAAAACGATACCGGTGACATTTGACCAAGGAGACAGCAGAGGAGCTTGGGCAGGCTTGGTGCGCGCACAAGCACACACACACACACACACACACACACACACACACGCCCGCGCGCATGGGTTGGTGCTCGCTGCCCCTGGGCACTCAGGAGGGAGGTCGATCAAGGGCAAAGGCCCCATCCAGCAGTTCTCTCAGGCCACCTGTCACAGCTGCAAGCAGAGCTGTGGCTTATAGCCTGCTTCCCACACTGCAAACATCTGGAAAGTAGAGACCTCCTCAGGGTGCCCAGCCCCATGCCCTCTGCTCCATGGGCAGTGGTCGAGGTCGTGCTGGTGGCTGCCAGTCCTTAGCACAGTGAAGGAGCAGCACCACCTATGGGCTCTGTGCACACAACTCACACACGTTATGGCAGATCACACTCATAACAAGGTGTGCACGAGCAAACCCAGTTTGCTGACAAAAGAGAACCCATTTCACAGACACTGCGTGGCTACAGCTCCACAGCAGGTGGCTGGAAGAACGGGGACCTCGGGTAGGGGTTCTTGGCATGGAGCTTGGGTGCCCATCCGCCTCTCCTCCTGGCTTCCCTCCCGCTCTCTTCTGGAACTCTGGGTGCTTCGTATGCACCAGACGACACCATCCAAAGGCCTATGGACCCCTCAGGACCTTGCGCTTCCCAGGCAGGCACGTATGCCACTGAGCTATATCCCTGGCCTGGACCCAAAACTTGGATAAGGTTCTAGACTTGAAGAAGATAAAACACCTACGTGGAACTTGAGATAACCCTAGCAATAAGACACTTGCTGAGCGCTCACTGAGTGCTGAGCACAGTGCCACTGACTTCACGTACTATCGATGCTGAGCACCTCCTGAGCTACTTGAGATCTTCCTCACTTTACAAACAGAACGTTTAGAGTCACGAAGCATCGAGACCATGTCAGCCAGCGCCCCCATCCTCCCTGGACTCCGACGTCCTACTCTGGGGCTTTGCACTGTGAGATCTCACTGCATCAACACCCAGCTCTCCACCAGAGCAGGAGACACAGCAAGACGGAGAGACCTCTGCCCTGGGTGATGCCGGACAGGTCTCACTTGCAGGTAGGACATCAGCAGTACTGCAGTCCACAGAGAGACCACCATGTAAGGGTGATCTTTTATGCTGGTCTCTGCTGTAGAAACTGGATGTGGGAAGAAAGTAGCCTAGACACTTAGGTCTACTTCAGATGTTTCTCCCGAGTAACGATTACACTGTTTGGGGGTCCTGTGAGGACTGAGACTCAAGCCCAGCTCTACCGAAGGTGCCAGTTCTGCACTGGCATGGAGAATGCGCAGCTGAAGTGCACTCCCAGGAGGACGTGTGGGGCAGGAGAGCCATAGAGCTCCGACCCAGGAGCCAGGAGGGCCAGGCCCCATGCTCAGCTGGATGGCCACGCCCACCCAGCCCCTCGCTGGGGAATCTGTGTTGAGCCAGAGGCTGTCTAAGGTCTCTCCCCCTCGCTCTGATGTTCTTTTATGCTGAAACTCCTCAAGGCGGTACAGGAAGGAGTAGGGCCCAATGGAAGGCCTCGGATCGAAAGGAGAGGCCAGTTTTTGGTCCCTGATCCTGCAGGTGAACAGCCGCTACATGCCATGGACCCCAGGGTCCCTCGCTTACCTCTGTCATCAGCCGGAAAAATCCTCTAAATAAGAAAATCACCAACCAGTGGGAGACCTTGACAGGTGGCCCGGAGGCTACTGCCCGCCGGAGGTCTGGCTTATCCGCAGTGCTCAGTGGCTGCCTGAAGCTTTGATGCCATTATTACTAACATTGTAAAGTTACAGTGACCAAGGATACCCACCAGGCTAATTCTATGTGCAGTGTGCGGTGCCAGGAGGAGTTCCTTCTTATGCTTCCCTGTTCCTCCTGGCAAGTGTAAGCGGTACTGTTATCTCTGCTGGAGAGATGAATCCTGGGCTCTGGGCGGTTAAATAACTTACCGGAAGTCGCACAGCCACCACTAAGTGAGGCAGCCTGCGTTCTTTTCCAAGCCTGCTGACCTCCCAAGGCCTGCTTGCCCTCGGCTTGCTGAACTCTGCTGCAACCTGCAGTGCTTTGGATCTGGGTATTTTCCTCTCACACTGACCTGCAGTGAGCAGCTGGAAAGGACGCACAGCCACTGACATCACAGCATCTTCTTACCTTACAGCCCACAAAGTGCTTGCTGACAAGCCACGCCACCTGACTCTCCGGGCAGCCAGAGAGCTGATGGAGCAGATCTCTGTTTTATAGAAGAGGACCTGGAGCCTCCAGGGAGACTGAGTCATGTGGAGCTTTTAAGACCCACTTGTTGCACGACTCACGGACTCGTCTAAGTCTCTGAGCACTCAGGGACATCACTTTTCAGAACATTATGTCATGTGTTTTAAGGCGTATCCAGTTATTTATATTTGTATTGCAGAATGGTCAACAGAGGGCCTTCCCAGACAGATATTACTGAACAGCAGCTGGTGTTTCCTTAAATCTACTTCCAGGACTATGTGCACATCGTTTCCAAACAACTAAGAATAGTTTGGCCAACCCTAAAGTTCAGGCCCCTCCCAGGGACCATTTTCTTCCTTTGAAATGCCAGTGCATGCACGGAGCCCGCTTCTGAGCTGACAATATACGTGCTAAGTGCACTGAGCTGTGAGCCTTCCTTTCTGATTTATAGACAGTGCTGTTAGGTACATCATGCCGGCTTTCTTATAATCCTTTCCTACAAACTATATCTACTAAGTGCAGTTCTAACAGGGCTGTGTATGAGTATGTGTTAGATACATCTCTGACACGTACAGATCTCATTACACAGATTTGTCTGTCATATACATCCCCAGAGCTGTGTTGCCCATGTTTTCTTTTTTATCCAGAGAAGGCACGTCTAACACATAACGAGGATGTGATAGGATGAATTCCTTCACAACAACTGCTCTGCAGAGCAACAGGAATGAGCCCCCTCAACGTAAGTATAGAACAGAAGAAACGGAATATCAGAAACCGCATGGGAAAAGTGTGATGAAATCTAAAGTTCGAAAGAAGCAAAGTCTAATCTACAACCTTAAATGTTAAGGTAGTGGCTGCCCTGTGGGTTTGGTTGAGCAGGAGGATCTGAGGGGCTTTCTATGTGGCTGGCAGTGATCTTCGTGTTGGTCTGGAGAACAGGCCGTGAGAATACCCCCTATGACAATGCTCTGAGGTCTGCACTTATACTTGAGCGCTTTTGTCTCTGCAGGTGTGCTATGGAGCGAAGATGGCTTGCGTGTGTCCCCATGGGCTGATTGTTGGGACTGGGGTTTTCAGAGTTCTGGTATTGGGAAGTGGGCTGAAATCATTAAGAAACAAGTCCCAGTGGGAGTAACTGCCCCATGAAGAACTAATGTCATTCTCACCGGACCTTGGTTTGATCATAAAAGAGCAAGTCTGGCTTCTCCCAGTGCCCCTGGCTTACAGTCTTGCCTTGTAATTTAGGACCTCGAGGCAGCCAGGAGAGCACACTAAAGACACTCATGAAAGAGGACCTCCAGAACTGCTGCAGAAAGTAGCAGGGACAATGTGGTGAGCACGTTCAGAGTGACAGAGAGCATGTTGAGAATGAATGGTAATGTACTGAAGTTTTCAATCGCACTGTGTGTGCTCCTTGCTAATTCTGAACTTTCTCATCTAACTTCAACTACCCTATCTGCCCCCCTTTGTATATTCCTCTGGGGTACTGAGGGAGCAGCAGGCCTGGTTTAAAGAGGAAGTTCTGCTATTTATACTTGTATGTTATTTTATTTTGTTTTGTTTTTTGAGACAGGGTCTCACAGCGTAGTTCACACTGACCTTGAACTCACTCAACTGACTAGGTAGCCCAGGCCTGCCTTGCTAATCACGGTGATCCTCCTGCCTCGGTCTCCCTAGTGCTGGGATTACAGGTGTGCGCCACCGTGCCCGGCTGTAGTTGTGTGTTACTGACTACAGTGCTTATGCGATCTGAGGTTGAGGGTGTCTGGCTGGGACTGTGATGCTGGTTGCTGCTGTGATTACTCAGCACGAGGACTGAAGGGAAAGACACGCGCAAAGCCCAGCAGCATGTCTGGCGCAGAGGCGCTCTGGACCCTGCTCCTAGCCCAGAGTGTGACTTCCCTCTCCTAACTCCCTATCCCTACGTGTTCCGAGTCTGCTTGGTGCCTTACCCAGTGTGAATTGCTCCATGCGTTTTACATCCAATAAAAGAACAAACAAGCAAAAACGAAGAAGGCAATATTCACGCCCTCGTGGGAGTTAGGGGGAGATGCTCATTGTCCGTATTTGCTCTTCTCCTTCCAAGGTGGAGAAGTTTTACCACAAAGAAACTGCTTTAACCTCCACAGGGCCCTGCAGATAGTCTTACCACGGCCCCATGCTTTTGCACGGCTGTCCTGCCAGGACGTCCCCAATGCACATAAACTCTCCTCTCCACTTCTCACCTCCAGCTTTCAGCCAAGGGAGGACCCGACTCTTACCTCACTGATAAGATAAAGCTCAATTTAAATTCCGCCCCCATCCCCCCTCACGCTGTCAGGGTCTTTTTCTGCATTTTTATCAACTTATTTTCTGGCTTCTCAGCTCCCCTGGTTTTTCTCCAGGACCTCACAGCTTTATTAGGTCCCCAGTCATTTGTCCTTTTGCCCTCTCGCTCCCCCGGCCTCAGGTGCCATCGATGCACACCTCTTCATGTTCCTCCCTTCCAAAGGCAGCTGCAGGTTTCCTGTGGCACCCTGCTGCAGCAGTTCCCCAGTCTTTCTCCATTTGCTGCCAGCTTCCAGCCAGACTGGTTTAAATCCGGTTTCCACTTCCTGTCCAGCCCTGCATTTCATTGCTTATAATCTTGCTTCTTGCTCTGCTCCTTTTACTCACCTGCAGCCTCTCCCCCAACCTCACATTGGTTTAGCTAAACTGCGTCTCTTGATGGGAGCCTCACCTGCTTCCACACCTTCAAGTGCGCTTTCCTTTAGATGCCTCCAGAGTCTGTCTTTGCTCCTGGCAGTGCCCGGCGCCACGTGCAGTTTCCTCAGACCTCTGCCTCTCACCACATGCCACTTCCACTTCTATGACCACGTCCTGAGACAGATCCTCTTACAAAAGAAGCACCATTCGGGGAAAACAGGACATAAGATTTCCGAAAGGGTCGCTCCCACAGTTTAGTAACTGACCACAGCACGTCACTTTTGCTGAATTTTCTTTTAAATGAAATGAGGAGATTGAGGATTATCAGGATGACTTCCATAGCTGTGAAAGTCTATGAGACAACATTTCAAGAAGGCAAAGTCCTCGTCTGCCCACCTAAAATCAGCCCGTTTTCCTGATTTTGGTATTTCTATTGATAGCACTACCGTGAAGTCATCTAAATTTAAGTCTGTTTTATCTTCATTGCCTCCATTTTCCATAATCTCTATCATTTGCCAGGCTCAGGAGTTCAGCCTAGAAATGGCTGTTGCATTAATTCTCATTTTTCCTTCTGTCTTAGTGTAAATCAGAGTTAAGCTCTTGTTCAACTCACCAGGACTTCTGCAGTGCTCCTCCTCCTGGTCTCCACATTTTATATTACTGTCAGATCGGGTTTCTCTAGGGGTTCCCTCCTTTTTGTTGGCTCCCAGTACCTCTCTCGATCACCCACATCCCTTTACTTGCAATTCAAGGCTCTTTGCTACCCTGTTTGAACACCACTGCTGCAATCACAGAGCTGGGCTTCTCCCAAAAATGTCTTGCTATTTTAACTACCTTCTTCCTTGTACAGTTGCCCTGGATGCTGTTCTCCATAACCCCATGTGAAATTCTGCCATCCATCAAGGTCCCTGCAGGACGTTAGCTCTTGCATGAAGATTTCCTTCATTCTCATAACTGAAGCAATCTCTCTCTGCTCAGAAGTCCAGACCCCTGTGTCCATCAGCTCTGGCTCTTTAATATCATCTAAGCTATTTTAAAACAACTACTGTAAGCTAATTTTCCCCATTTTATTTGAGGGTAATATCACCTTTGTATCCAGAACAGTATGTTTTTTGCAGGACTGCAGTAGGAGGAGGGTGAAATAAATGAAGGAAGGAATTACTATTGCACTTAGTGTATGATTTTTTAGAAAAGTCCTAGGCAATATGCTCTTAAAACATGGTCAGGGAGACACATTATTTATCAAAGAAGCCATTAGAAAACAATGTAAGATTTCCAAAACATCAACACTAAACTAAATTGCTTCTGCCTTAGATTCAGATTTTGTTTCAGGTCTGCTCCGAAGAAGCTGGATGATGTTAGGCACAATTCAACCTGGCCCACATGTTCCTATGAGTAAAACATAGAGTTGTAAGATATAGCCAAAAACAAACAACAAACAACAGGATCTCCAGTTAAGTTTAAATTTCAGATAAACACCATGTTGTTTAGTTCTTATACTACAATTAGTCTTTATTGCAGAATTGCTGTTCAACTGAAATTCAAGTTTAACTAGACATCCTGTATTGTATTTTATCTGGCCAAGCTAAACAAAAGGACTGTTTTTAATCATGTCTGAGTCTTTCTACTCTAACCACCTATGATCAGTAGCGTTTTCAGTAGCGGGGAAGATCTTTGCCTGCTGTTTAACTGTCCAGATTTCAGCTACATTACCAACTCCTGGTCTTTCCTGACCTCCCTATCTAAAAAGCACCACCTCTTATCCTTCTAATCCTCCTCTCCAGGCACTCCATAACCCATTATCTTGTTTTCTTTTCATTACCTGAAAATATCTTATTCACCCTTGGGCACACGTTGCTGTCTGCCTTCCTCATCTCCTGAGAAGGGGATTATGGTCAGCATCACTGCTGGGTCCACAGCACCCAGGACAATGCCTACTCCAGAAAAAGTTAAAAACCAAATAATATAGCTGATGTTAAATTAATTCTGCACCTGATGTTAAATTAATTCTGAGTGTTACAATGCACTGCACCCCAGGAGGACCTAGGGAGGAGGCCCATAGGAAGAGAAGCTCAGTGTGGGTGAAAGAGCTCAGAGAAAGCTTCTTGGAAAAAATAGGATTTTGGCAGTGCCATAAAGGAGTGGCTGGAGTGAGGGCGGGAATGGCTTGAACAGGCTGAGCAACATTTTCGAAGCCTGTAAGACTCTGTCCTCCTTGCCCTCACCAGGCCCATGAGAATTTAGCATGGCCGATGAGCAGTATGTGTTAATGTCAAAGACTTCTCAGGCGAATCTGACATGAACCCCCTACTCCATTTCAAGAAGGCTCTCATAAAGTATGGGAAGGATGTGGCTCGGTAGAAACCATGACTGAGGATATGATCTGCACAGACCAATGTGAGATGAGCACAAAGAGAAGAACAAGAGCATTAAATATCACAAAGTGTGAAAATACTGCTCAGCTCAGAGCATAGAGAGACCTCAGCTTACAGAAAATGGAGAACCCCAGCAAGATTTTCAAAAGAAAATAAAATAGTAAAAATGGGAATTGGCAGCTGAAATTTTAGGAGACTATGGCATACCCGACACAGTCCACTTCCTATTTTTGCAAATAAAGTTTTATTGGAACATGGCCTTAATCATCTGTTTACAGATCTCTTATGACTATGTTGCTGAAAATACAGCACAGTGCTTGTATCAGCCAGCCCTTGTAGAGCTGTGCATATCTTTAAGAATCTCCCACTACAGGACTGGGGAAATAGCTCAGTGGCACAGCGCCTGCCTGGCAAGCAGGAGGTCCTGAGTTTGATTCACAGTACCCCCCACAAAAATCAAGAATCTCCCATTGCAAAATGTCCTCAATGACAAGACTAGAATGATTCATTTCATATGGTTATCATGTTCATTAATTCCTAAATACCCAACAGGATGTCACATACCTAGGCACTAGGTTAAATGCCTCAATTTGTATTTACAGTACTTGTGAGTCCTTGGTCTCTATAGATATTTGCCTGTCACCACACACCATATATGTGTGATTGGGACAACACATTTCAGGGCTCCTATGGGGCCTTCTGAACTGAAACTAAATAGGAAAAGTAGTTATAAATATCCACAGCAGCAAGTTCAGGTCTCTTCCTGAAAGTGATATCTGACAGCTAGAAATTTGGCCTGAAGTTCGGTTCCCAGCAATAGCACCAGACACATGCGTAGGAAGAGTGTCATATCTAAGTTTTCCAGTAACTCCAAAAATATCTTCTCTTACCTTTCCCCGTATAGCTACACAAACCCTAACCTCTGTCCTTGTCACCCTTCTAGTCTTGTTCCAACTCTTAAGCTTACTTCTGGGAACAAAATAAGATATTAGGCAAATGCTTTGAGTTTGGTTTCCTTAGAGCCTCCTTCTGGAAACAGCAGTCTTTGGTGGCTTCAAGCGTTGATCAAAGGGCACAGCACTTCACTTAGACACAGGGAGTAATTCCTGGAGGTTCATTGTATAGCATAGTGGTTATATTTAATAATAATAGTTCATAGGAAAAATGGCTGAAAGCAGCTCTTAAATGTTCTCAGCAGATCAGAATAGTGTGTGTGAGTCAATGGATGTGCCAGTCAGTTCACAAGGGAACCCTATGGCAAAACATCACGCTGTTCGCCAAAGGTTGTGCAACTTTTATTTCCCTGTTGTACCTGAATAAAGCTGGAAGTAGAATGGGAAGGAACGCTTTAAGTCTCCCCCTAGCCCTGGAGAGGTGAAAATCTCTTAGCTACAGCTGATCATGCAAAATTAGTTCAAGAAATATTCACCCAGACTCTACTATGCTGGACATTGGAGTTACCGAGGTGAAAAGAGTTAGTCACTTGCGAGTGAACGGGGCACAACTGGTCTCAGTGCCTGGATGGGGTTATATTCCCACACAGCCCATGGAATTAGAGTGGCAATGGCAGAGTGAGGGTGATCTTTGGGTGCCATGGAAACCATATGGCAGGCATCTCTAACAAATCTGAGGGTCTTCTTTGAGGAAGTGGTCTCCACAGGAGAAACTGCGTGTGGGGAGGCGGGGACCCACAAGAAACGCAGGTGTGAAAGCCTTTGGAAAGGCTGAGCTCCTGAGTGTTATAATGTACTGTTGACCGAGTAGAGCTGAAGAGCTTTCTTGTAGATTCCAATTACCTTCCGACATGTTGCATAAAGAAGCAAGACCTTTGACTTTCACTCTGTTTTTAGCACTGCCTTTTTCTTCTCCTATATACCCTGGCCAGTCATTTCACCTTTTGAGCTTCACATTTTTCATTTGTCAAATGGTGCTAAGAATATCTTTGCAGGGATTTGTAGGGATCCAGTGAGACAATGTGTGGGAAAGTGCTTTGCAACCTCCACAACGCAAGGGATTATTTTTCTAATTCCAGCCACCACCCAGGCCACTCCCTACGTCCCTTCCCCACTGCCTATCCGGATTTGCTCAGCTGATGCAAGCCCATTTTAATATCATCTGCTGACAGCAAATCAAACAGGAGATCAAAGCCAAAACACCAGTTTTCAGATTCTCCCCAGGCCACATAGCAGCACAGCCCATGTCAGGGTAAACAGAGGACCCCTGCAGAAATGTATCAAACTGGGCCATCCGTAATTCTTTGTGTTTTTCTTGCTCATTTGACAATGAGAAAACCAGTATAAGGAAGGGTCTTATGAAAGTCACCGAGCTAGAGAGTGCTGCCCTGGGTGGCTCGTTTGCAGCTGAACTGTGCATTCCTATGATCTCCCGGCTACAAATCCAGCAGGTAGATTGGATCTACAAATCCTGCTGCAGGCCTCTCTCTAGCCCTCTAGAAACTGATCCAGGCAGAACACTGCAAGTTGGAGGCAGGTGTGCCTTGCTCGTTTTCGCCTAGCAATACTGTGTGCCCTAATCACTCTGCTTCTAGGCTTAGTGTAATTGAACAGCCCAGAACTCTGTGGGCTGGGAGCTGTTGGTCACCTTCCAGAAAAAGTCTATCAGTCAGATGGGCAGTAAGTGCCAAGGTTCTGAAGAAGCTGTCCCCAGAGTTATAAAACCCAGGGGCCAGGTTCCTTGTATCTCCCCCATGAGAAAATCACAACCTAGAAATCCAGTAGCAATTCCTGCAAGAAAAGGACCCTTCTGATTCACATGGGTGGAACTTCCAAGTTGGCCATGTGGGACAGGAGCTTAATCTGCCCACAGGAGGGGAGCCTGCAGGATGCACTCACGAGCCAGTTTGAGGTAGTGTTCCAAATGAACTGTTTGATTTCACTGCTGTTCTCTTATGAAGTTCCATTCAGGTGTTTGCAAAGTTTCTCTAATCCCTGCTATATTTTTAAAAAAGATGGCCAGGCAATCTGGAGTAGTTAAAAACAACAACACTGAAACAAGGGGTGCTGTCTTTGTGGGAAGAAGGCTGTGGGCAGCCTCTTGGCTTTACAGCTGGCTGGCGCTGAGGGTGCCTTCTCTGCCCTCAGCCTCCGCCTCTGGGACAGAGAGCTAATACTCCCAGGAGGAAGGCAGGATGAAGGGCAGCAAGGATGACAATAACGAAAGAACGTGAAAGCGGCCCGAGCCTCCTGACCCACTCTGCCTCAGCCACTCATGCCTATACCCTACTCTGGGGCCAGGGTGCTCATCAGACCAGTACCTCCCAGCCCAGATTTACAGTAAGCAGTGCAGGATGACCTTAAATGATTAAAAATTATGAAATGAAAAAGATCTGCTCATCCAGCGCCTGGTGAATATATGTTGCAGCTGTGTGAGGCCTTGCTTGCACTGCAGTCCACCTGTGAGCAAACAGGCACTATCCTCAGTGTCTCAGAGAGTCACACCCGGCACGCACACAAGGACAGACATATGTACATGCATGTTCACATGTGTACTCTCTCACTGAGAGAGAATGAGGCATCACTAGCATTCATCATTTGGTCTTCAGCCTCACCCACTGAAATACTATTCATCACTCTTGCCATGTTTGGGGAAGAAGCTCTAATAAGAAAGATAAAAGCTGACCATTTATGAAGCGTACATCTGGCTTCTAAAAATGGGGCTGTGTACGGCCGGTTTTTATTGCCCAGCCCAGCCAGGGTGGAGAGAGACTACCCTGGCCGAGAGTTACCTTCCCAATGCAACACACATCCGTAGGAAATCACAG